TGGAAGTACTTCCTTGGGGATTTTGTGGGGAGAGGGATTCATGGGAAAGGAAGGAGTCATATGGAAGAGAGTCATGAAGATCCCAAGGACTTTTGCATGTGAATTAGTGAAGACCTCATCAGCATTAACTTATTGCTTTTCAATTTGCTTACTGCTGTACAATTTGAAACCCACCCCCTCTTTTATAGGAATACTGGGAGCACTCACTTATGGGGAGGTTAAGGCACAATGGCTCTTGCAACAGCCACATTGAGAACTCTTGCTCTTCTCTAAAAAAGAAGACGCTTCAGACAAACTGACTAACTCACCTATGGCCAACTCTATTGCCCTAGACTTGTAACATGAGGATTAAGGGCCTGATCCAAAGCCCACTGAAGACAATGGGAGTCCTTCCAGTGATTTTAATCAGTGTTGGATGAGGTCCTAGCAGAATTTCATAAAACGTAATAGTGATATTTTGTCAAGTTAATGTGGTTATGGTTGGGTTTTTTGGGATATGAGAACATAAGGAGATATTCTGGGTCTGATTCTCTTGTCGCACTGGTGCAACTACATCAACTTCAGTGGAATTAATATTGATTTACACTTGTGTGAGACGGGAACCAGCCAAATCACCATTTCATAATTCACATACTGCCAAATGTTTGAGAAATATAGATGATTCCAATGCCCACTATACAGGTTGCTACAACATTCCCAATTATAAACAATAGAGTGGAATGTGAGAACCATTAAAGGATTATTTTCATTTATATTTCTTTTTCTTACTTGTTCCTCCACGTCTACCACACCTAATGGACATTAATTTCATGAATCACATTCTTTTAGTTGTAATAATGTGTATTAATGTCAAATGCCTTTCCAATGATCCTGGAAACTTCAGCCAAAACAACTCTTTAGCAGATAATGGACTATTTTGAAAAACATGCATGTATATGGCTATTTAGGCACCTTCATCAAAATGAACAAGGATACTAAAGAAAAGTATTCCGTATAGTATTATAATCTTAAACCTCTCACAAGATGACCAGAGACTCATTTCTTACCTTCTGTATTCTGCTATTAACTTAATTAAATCTTCAGTAGAAATCTTGTTACTTTCTTGCCTGAACAAAGGTGAAAATCGAGAGTCTCTGTCAACATTTCCCTGATTATCCTTAAACACTGGCCTATAAAGAGAGAAAACAACATATATTGGATTATAGTCAGGCATGCTTAGTCATATTAATTGAAAATTTTCAGGTCACATATAGTTGTTTATCGCTTATGACATAAAATGAATTTCTGTGCAAAAGTCAAAGAGAACAGATAGTTAAAAATTTCTCTCTATGGAATACAAGGCAAATATGCAATTCTTAGTTCCTGTTAGGGGATATAGTTGAAATCATACTTGGGTGACCCAAAGGGATACAATTTATTCACATATGTAGGCCACAGTCTTACAAAGACTTCATACACTACACACTGACATTTAATTTAATGCAACAGTTCTACTGACTTCAAGAGGATTACTCCAGTGTACAACGTTCCAGATGCAGTTTTAAGGCCAGAAGGGACCATTCTGATAATCTAGTCTGATTACATGCATAAGATAGACCACAAAATTTCATCATATCACACATATATCAAATCTATTATTTCTGGCTAACCTAGTGCATATCTTGTAGAAAGACATCCAAGACTTATTCAAGAGACAGAGAATTCATCACACCTCTAGATAAATAGTTTCAGTGGTTAATTACCCCTTACTGTGAAAACAAACAAGCAAACTAAGCAACCTAAACCCAAACCAACCAACCAATAAAAAGGCACACTGCACCTTATTTTAACTCTGAATTTGTAAAGTTTCCGCTCCTATCCATTGGATTTACTTGTGATAAAACAGGTACATCTATAAGTCTTTGCAGGATTGGGGATTTAAAATGTAAACTCTTTGGGGCAGGGATCTAGAGCCAGATTTTCCAGACCATTATATCTGCTTTTTACCTTTCCACAAGGGTAGAGTTACACTGGTGTAACTTGTCTCAATACATGTTTGAACAATGACAACTACACTTTTGGTTAAATAAATCATAAATTATAAATCACAATTATAAAATGTTAGCCAGAAGCAGTGTAGATTAAATGGAAAAAGAGGATATCATATAATAATTAAGAATAACACAGATCAACTTTTGATCATACAGGAAATCATTCTCAGAACATTCCACTTCTGGTCACTCTCACTTTCAGGATTTAATTAAGACATTTCAGTGCCCTTTGAATTGCCCAAGGGTTTAAACACTCTGGCTGGACTGCATACTGTTACAACTGCCCAACGAAAGAACACTGGATTCAACTGCAGCATGAAAAACAATTGCTTAAGAAAAATAAAATGTTTTTAATACAAAGTGTGACTCCACATATCGAGTATTTCTTCCCTAAATTACCTCTCTATTCTGCTGTCACTGAAAACAGAATTGATGTCAGCATGAAATACTGCCAGATACCAAATAACCAAGTAAATCTTGGGCTGATTCTACTGATAAGGACAAATGTACAATATCCTAACTCATTCAACTGAGATGGAAGGACCAACATTAAAAGGGAAGCAACCCACATTTCAGCCGTAGATCTCCAGTTGAGATGAACAAAATATCCAATAAATAGCTATCATTATGCCACTGGAACTTGTGGTGTGACAGCAGAGTCACTGTAGAATGGGGAAGATTCCTTTCTCTCTGTTCCCCATATATTCAGTTATGCTAGCAAGTTGGACTCTGGATTTGGGCCTAAAAACATACCATGCAAGCTAGAATAGTGAGGTAGGGAGATGTCACAGCAAACATACTGCTGGACTTTGGTGTAGATTTTTAAAAAAGGTATGTAAGTAATGCACACAAAATATAATTATATCAATGCAAATAGATAACTGATGTAGAATTAGATGCTGCGCCTTTAAGAATTGAGCTTCCTAAAAAAGTCTCAGGGCATTAAGAAGGTCTTGTTATGAACAGGCAGTTGTAACCAACCACAGAATAAACCAAATTACTTGCAAGCCCTATGTGATCACTGAACACTGCAGCTGCATGAAAACTATGAACATGAGTGAAAAAACCAGGCAATTATGTATGCTGATAGCTTTTATGTAAGTAATCACCTGATTGCAATAAACTATCTTTACATTCATTAGTCAGTTTCGCTACTACAGGCAGTCCCGGGTTACGTACAAGATAGGGACTGTAGGTTTGTTCTTAAGTTGAATCTGTATGTAAGTCGGAACTGGCGTCCAGATTCAGCCGCTGAATCGGGACGCCAGTTCCGATTATGTATGCTGATAGCTTTTATGTAAGTAATCACCTGATTGCAATAAACTATCTTTACATTCATTAGTCAGTTTCGCTACTACAGGCAGTCCCGGGTTACGTACAAGATAGGGACTGTAGGTTTGTTCTTAAGTTGAATCTGTATGTAAGTCGGAACTGGCGTCCAGATTCAGCCGCTGAATCGGGACGCCAGTTCCGACTTACATACAGATTCAACTTAAGAACCCCAGGCATCCCCAAGTCAGCTGCTGCTGAAACTGATCAGCGGCTGATTCCAGGAAGCCCGGGGCAGGAGCTTCCTGTAGTCAGCCACTGGTCAGTTTAAGCAGCGGCTAACTTGGGGACGCCTGGGGGAGAGCAACAGG